GGAAGATTCGCCTTGAGCTAACATCTGAGCCAATCTTCCTCTATTTTGTACGTGGGTCACCGCCCCCGCATGGCTTGATGAGTGGTGTGTAGGTCCATGCCTGGGAACTGAACCAGAGCCACCAAAGCGGAGCATGCTGGACTTAACCACTAGGCCATGGCCCCATAAAGCTGTGACATACTTTTGATCAATTTCTATTTTACCTCTACTGTTGACTTCTCCCATCCCCCACCGCCCAAAAATTGTGGCAATCAGATATATAGATTTTTCTAATGCTTTACTTTCACAATTGGGTTCACCTTGGCTTGCATCACAATAGTCATCTCTGGCAAGCCAGAAGCACGTGACTTTTTAAGTGTATTTTTCACTTTTCTGAGTTGACACTCTGAAAAATAAAATATAAAATAAAAATTAAATAAAAACCAAAATGTACGTTATTGCAGAAAATCTACAAAAATAGATAAATATAAAGAAGAATAAAATTTTTAAATTCACTTGACTACCTAGAGATAATAATTGTTAACCAAAAGACTTCCAGCCTTTTGCAATTATATATATCTATATCTACAAAGAATGTTTTTCTTTTCTTTTTTTTTTTTTTTTACAAAATTGATATCCATTTTGTTTGGTCATTTGTCTGTCATTTAATGTGTCATTAAATGTTGTTCTAAAACATGATCTGTTAATGGCTGCAAGTGTAATTTAATATAGTTTATTCCCCTGCTTTGGGAGTTTTTAGATTTTTCCCATTAACCATTTTTTAAAATTTGGTCCTAATAACAGTAGTGTGTTTTAAGCCACTTAAAAATGAGTTGACTTTTATATCAGATTTGAATGCCCCAGGATGTTAGATTAAAATGTGCGTTCAAATAATGCTTCTCCAGAAAACCTACATTCATAGGCACAAGCTGATGGACAATCAAGAGAGACTTAACATCGACTCTGTAAATACCCAAGGGCTGTGTGCACACTCTGACCCTCACTGCCTCTGTGGTCAGCCTTGCTCTCAGCTGCCTTGAAGCAGCCGGTGGCTTCACTGAGACCGACACTCTGTGCTCCTTGGTTTTCACAGCTGGTTTAATGGTGAAAAAGTCGGCTTCGGATGTGTCCATCTCCTCCGGCACCCACGGGCAGTATTCGATTTTGCAGACAGCAAAACTTCTGCCAGGAGCACCCCAGCAAGCAGTGAGTTCCTCTGTATTCAGCTCAAAGCGAAACGGGCCAGCATCTCAGACCCGAGGGGTTTGCCCCGTGGTTCCTCCTCAGCCCCTGCAATCATGCGGGATTACCTCCTTTCAGTGAATATGTAGATTTGTATCTCTTTAACCCTCTGCCTGTCCACCAGCTCGTCCCCAAACCCCATCACTTAGTAGCAGGTCCTTTATAGGGCTTTTGAATGGCCGTACAGGGCGTTAGAGGGAAAATCACATTTGATGGAAAATCCCAGGTGTCCCTGTGTAGCGGGACTGCTGGTTTCCAGGCTCACCTGCTTGCTCTCCTGGTGCTTAGCTTTGGTCTTGGTGGAAGATTGGTGGTTAGTAGAAGGGAGTACAGGAGAGATTCAGACCACTTGTCTTGACAAAATGCTGATCGTTCTGGCATGAAGTTAGTTAAGCAAAGAGGCTAAAAAGAGATCTAATGGGCCTAAAAAACGTAGTAGGGGAACGCTAGTGACAACAGTCCTGTAGGATTTTGGAGATGGAGAGTTCCAGAGGATGGCAGCAAGCTGCTGAAGAAGACTGCAGGTGAAGGTCAATGGAGTAGAGGCGAGGAGGAGGGAGGTGAAGCCCGGGTGCTGGGTGGAAGCTAACTTGTCCCGCGAGGGTGCGGAGAGCTGGGCCAGGCCAGATGCTCACGCGTTCACAGCAGGCGTAGGGGGTTAACTGGGTGTCAGTGGTTCCTAGTAATGAAGGCTGATCATCAAAGGCAGTCCAGAGGTTTGGGTTAAGAGGTAGAAAAAGCACTTTGAGAAAACGTGTGTCTATAAGGTGTTTTAATGCCTCAGCTGGGCTGTGGAAGGAGTGGTCTCTGCTTATGATTTCTGGCTTTTCCTGGGTATTGAAATAAAGACAGAGGATGGTTTATCCACATTGCAAAAACCTATAACCACCCAGTTTGGGAAACGAGGGTCGTCAGCTCTAGATATTATTGCATTCCTCTTCTTGGTATGAGAGTGCCCTGGGGGAGAAAGAGGCTTGAGGGATGGAGTTTAGGTTGGAGTTTGTGTATTAATCGCTGTCTCATGGAGCTTGTAAGTCTCACACTCGCGTACAGGTCAGTAGGCAGTGAACGCGCCAGGTGAGGCTGTCTTCCTGCCCATGTTAATACACTTTCCTCCCTGATTCTGTCCTCAAGCCCAAAGCTAGGACTGGGATAAGTAAACCTTACAACGTCAAGCAGATCAAAACCACCAATGCTCAGGAGGCAGAAGCAGCAATCCGATGTCTCCTGGAGGCCAGAGCAGGTAGGTGCTCCCCTGGGGCTCTCCTCCCCGGCCAGGAGAAAAACCCACTCTTTTTTTCATTTCATCTTCCTACTGAAAGGCGCCTAGAAGAGAAAATAACATTTTTTTTCTGGAGCCAGTATTAAGTGAAAGTACCCTTTAGCAACATTTTATAAAATTCCACTGCTAAGATTTATTGTCCATTTAAAATTATGTATTTAAAATGCAGTAAGTATATAAAAATAATCCCAGGATTATTAAGCAGCACTTAAGGGAGAGATTGAAATAAATGAAAATGAACATTAGAAAAGAGTGATGTTGGGCCAGCCTTGTGGCTCAGCGGTTAAGTGCGCGCGCTCCGCTACTGGTGGCCCGGGTTCGGATCCCGGGCGCGCACCGACTCACCGCTTCTCCAGCCATGCTGAGGCCGCATCCCACATACAGCAGCTAGAAGGATGTGCAACTATGACATACAACTATCTACTGGGGCTTTGGGGAAACAAAAGGAGGAGGATTGGCAATAGATGTTAGCGCAGAGCAGGTCTTCGTCAGCAAAAAGAGGAGGATTAGCATGGATGTTAGCTCAGGGCTGATCTTCCTCACAAAAAAAAAAAAAAGAAAAGAGTGATGCTGCAGGCACTGACTCATTCTGCTGGCTCTGTAAAAAGAGATAGTTAGGTATGCATCCTATTTCAAGCACAAAATCTATTTTTTAAATCCAGCAACAACTGTAGATTCTTTACTGCCAGGCGGGGACCTCTTCTCTGCCGCACTGCCTGTTCATTTTTGTTGCTGTTACTCTAACCCATGTTAATCATTATTGTAACTTGGAATGTCTGCCATGCATTTCAAAATCACTGGTCACTAATGTTTTTTGTTTTGATTTTGGAGAGGGGAGATTACACCTCTGAAAAGCCATATGTAATTACGATTGCCTGATTTGCTTTTATTCCGGATATTTAACTTATTTGGAATTCCTGAATAACATTTAAGGAGGGCATAAATTATGAGGTTGTGAAACACTGTTGTAGAATAATACCATCACAAGTGTTTTTTTATTTAAAAAAAATAACTAAAATTATGTGGATGTAACAACCCAAGTGTCCATCAACTGATGAATGGATAAAATGTGGTGTATCCATACAATGGAATATTATTCAACCATAAAAAAGAATGGAGTACTAATACATGCTGTATCATGGGTGAATCTCAAAAATAGTATGTTAAGTGAAAGAAGCTAAACACAAAAGGCCGTGCATTGTATGATTCCATTTTACAAAGTGTCCAGAATTGGCAAATCCATACAGATAGACAGTTATTAGTGGTTTCCATGGGCTGGAGAGAGGAGGAAATGGGGAATGATGGCTATGGGTATGTATGGGGTTTCTTTTTGGGGCGATGAAGTTGTTCTGGAATTAGATAGTGGTGATGGTCACACAACTTTATGAATATACTAAAAACCACCAAATTGTATCCTAAAAAAGAGTGAATTTGATGCTATGTGGCTTATATTGCAGTAAAGCGATTTTTTTTAAAAAATTCTATAGATGTCGAGGTTAGGAGAGGTTTGAGGTTTGAAATCTACCCAGGGTCCCAACTTAATATTTTCTTGGTCGTGGGCCCTGCTGAGATTTTGAGGAGTTTTGGGTCATCTCCCCTGAGAAACGCACATAAAACTTTGCATGTGACGTCAGGGCCTCACTGATGCCCCATCAAGACCATCCATGGACCCAGATCACCATCCCTGGTGAGAAGGTGAGCATGAGAAGCTGGGGGCCGAACCTAGCTGGTTGGTCTTGACAACCTTCAAAAAAATTTTTTTTTTTTTAGAAGAAAGGAAATACACTGTGTTAATAAAATATCCTTAGAATGTAGACTGCCCGAAGATTAATTCATGCAGCAAATTGCCTTGATCTGTACACTTCAGCCGTGCAATTGTATGTTTCAGGTGCCCCAGGAGAAGCCCAAAATGCCACAGCCCCGAGGGACCAAGGGTCTTCCAAACCAGAGCCCACAGCAGGGGTGGCCCCGCTCCTGCCCCGTCGGCCGGCACCCAGAGTTCCTGCCATCAAGAAGCCAACCTTGAGAAGGACAGGAAAGGTAAGAACCTGGTAGCATAAATCTCTTACTCCCAAGTTGCTCGAATGTCTTGTTAGATAAGAATTACGTCTCCGTTAAGTCTGGTCTCTCCATACACATTCCTGAGTTCCTGACACAGCCCCATCGTTGAGGAAAATGCTTGGCAATCGCTTTCTCCTTCGTATCCCTGCCGCATCTCGGCTCTAGCTGAGCAGAAAAACCAGGAGTTTCTCACCATGATGGTAACAGCTTAGAGGTATCACGCTTCCGGAATGTTCTATTGGAGTCCCCAAATAGAACCACTGTGGGATGCTTTATTCCAAATGTTCCACCATTTCCCATTTATGTGTGGTCTATGTTATGTGCACATGGTTTCACGTGTACAGATTTTGTTGGCATTAGAAAAGCAACAGATTTCAACATTAGCCATGTTGACAAGCCCTTGTGTGGCTGGGATTCTGGAGGGTCCACAGCATCTCGTGCCACTTTTCTTGCAGATTGTATTCTGCTCTCGCTCTCAAGCTTCTCAGCCTTGCTTGCTGCTTCAAAGACATGAGTTTGTCAGGACAGTAGCAGCCCAAAGACTGGCGCCTATAGAGACATCTGGATCTTCCGTTTGATCTCAGTGTTCTCGTAATGGGACTCTCGGTAATCCCTGGCTGGTCATTGCAGAATGCCTGCTGTTTTTCCACCTGTAGAGTGTATGAGCCGTGCCTTTGGTACTTTGTCCTTCCAGAGCTTGCTTTGTGTTTTCTGGGTTGCTCATGCCACTTCTGCTTGTTGCATCTGTCCATTTTCCATGCTCCTTACAAGTACAGCCGCCTTCCTCCTCCTTTCCCTGTGCGTACTTGCTCTTTTCTTTTAAAACCCAGGGGCAGAAATGGATTCATTTACCCGACTGGCTGCACAGGAGTTACAGTCAAAGGCTGTTGGGGAAGGGATTGTTTTCAGTTTGTTTCCTAAAGAACCAAAGGAAATCCTGAAATGCGGATGCTGGAACTACGGAGAGCCATTTCTGTACAGAGCGCCCTCTTGTGCTCTGCAGTTGTTTTCTTTGTGATAGTTTTGAATCAGAACTAAGGAAGTTCCTGTGTGAAATTTTCCTTTCGGCTGTATTTAAATATCAAAGATTCAAGGAACACATATATCCAGTAGTCCTTCCGTTAGCTTAATGCCGTGACCTTAGTCACTTCAGCCTAGCACAGTGCAGACTGAGTTATCAAAGCTGTGGCCTCAAAGTCTTCAGAGAGGTTCACTTTTAATAGAGGAGGAGCAGAACCCATTTCCTAAGGTAACAAAGAAAAACTTGTCTCAAATTATTCGCTGTGGCCCTGGTTTTAAAATTGTCACTCATATTTCGTTGGACCTGCTAAAAGTGTGTGTTTGTCCTGTGCTCTTTCGTACCTGGTCTTATTTCCATATCCCAGACATTCTCAAATCTTGAATTTGCTAGAATGTCAGCTTAGTGCCATCTCTGCTCCCTTCCTGACACTGAGTGCTGTCTGATTCCCAACCACCCCGCCTCCACCCCGGGCTGGCTTCTTATTTACGCTCTTGGTTGTGCTTTTTCTCAGCCCACTTCACCGGAAGAGCACTTTGGGCAACAGACTGCCCATTTTACAATCGGGCCCCCGGAAACAAGCCTTGAAACCCCTCCTCTAGCGACAGTCCCGCCTGTTCCCAAACCAAGAACACTTCAGCCCGGGAAAGGTGCCGAGAGGAAGCCAAGTGGTGGAAGGCCAGCGCCAGACGATGCCCCTCCAGTGGCTGGAGCCACCATACCACCCCCTCCGGAGGTCCCGCCTCTTGTGCCCCAGGTCCCCCCGAGGAGGAAGAAGTCAGCCCCCGCCTCCTTCCACCTGCAGGTTCTGCAGAGCAACAGCCAGCTTCTCCAGGACCTCAGCTGCAGCAGCAGCAGCCCCAGCCGTGACTGTCCCCCTGCACCCCAGCCTGATGGGGGTGCTCTCCTTCCACAACCGGCTTTTCTTGGCACTTCATCTGCTGCAAGCCCCGAGACTGATGGCCCCAAGGAGCTGAAGTCAGAGGCAGCCTCCCTTCTGGGTGATTCTCAGGATCCCTTCTGGAGCCTTCTCCAGCACCCTAACCTGCTGAATAATGCCTGGCTTCCCAAGACCTCTGACCCCCTGGACGCGGGGACCAGGAACCTTGGAAGGGCACACACAGCCCCACCGCAAGTCCGCACCTCAGCTGCCGAGGAGCCGCCACCGGAGCACAGGCAAAAAGACTTCAGTCACTGGGTGACAGTCAGTGACAAGGACAAGAGGACGGTGCTGCAAGTGTTTGACCCACTGGCGAAAACATGAGTGGGAAACCTTGACAGCTGCTTTCTTGCAGAACGTGTGCCTTCTTTCCTTAGACATCACTTTACAGGGAAAAGCCCAGAGCCTTGGCCTCAGTCCCCCAGTCAAAAGAGACATCTATTTAAAGGCACACTGAAAAAACATTTGTACTTCTGTAACTCTTGTGTGGTTTACAAAAAATTGTGTCTCTTATTCAATAAGATTATTATTCAGCCACCAAGCTATGCTTTATTCCAGACTTGTGCATTTCAAGTTTCCTCTCAGGGGTATGGGAAACCTCTGGTTAGGTTCAGTGTATGAATTTTAGGAGAGGGAATCTGGCTGGTAATACCCAAGAAGTTTTCTCCCATTGAATTGTAGATGGTTGTGCAATTTATGTGTGTATCTGGTGTTTTTAAAATTTTGTTTGTATTTTACAGAGTTGGAATAACTTTTTGGTGAATCACCTGAAGGTTGATGCATAAAGTAAGGATTAGCCTAGAAGGTGGTTGGGACCATTAAGATCTGTACCTGGCCCGCTGACACTGAGTTACAAAATGTCAGAGTTAGGGGCCGGCCCAGTGGTGCAAGCGGTTAAGTGCACGCGCTCCGCTTCGGTGGCCCGGGGTTTGCAGGTTCGGATCCCGGGCACGCACCGACGCACCGCTTGGTAAGCCATGCTGTGGCGGCGTCCCATATAAAGTAGAGGAAGATGGGCACGGATGTTAGCTCAGGGCCAGTCTTCCTCAAGAAAAAAGGGGAGGATTGGCATTGGATGTTAGCTCAGGGCTAGTCCTCACACACACACAAAAAAAAGTCAGAATTGGAAGCAGTGGATAGATCAAGCAAATGACTAGACTGTACATTCCTGTAGGCCCTTGTTTATTTATGCACATGTATATTAACCTTGGTTATGTGTGAGCCCTGTGGGAGGTGGTGTCTACACTGTTCTGGGTCTGAAACACATACCCCATTAGCTTAACCTGAGCTTAAACTGGCTAAAGATTCCTGTTCCATGACTTAGACATGGCATGCCCCATAAATTGCTGTAGTCCTGAGCCCTGGTGTGCTACTTGAACCAATTTTTACACACTATCTGTTCCCTATTAAATGAAACCTTGTGGATTCTTTATTCCCCTTGTATTCCATACCTGGTAAAAGCACAAAATGTGAAAACTCGTACTGGCACATAATATTGATCCTCGTTGTTATGATATGAAGAATATTTGGTTTAGCCTGGTCCGCCTGGCTATAGCTACAGGAAGGAAGGTACCACATGTCCCTATATATAAGAAACCCTGGGGCAGCATTGCTGGGGTTTGCTTAACTATATGTTTATTAGGTTTATTTTTTGCGTATGCATTGTTCCTATACATTTCCAACAGCACTTCTTGCCTATTCAATCATTTCATCACCATACTGTTTTACATTTTTAAAATAATGTTATAAGGCCTAGAATCCATTTGGAGCAGATATCATATTTTTGTGAATAAGAAATTCACTGGCAAAGTCTTAGTGTGCCACGTACCATATTTAGGAGTCTTTCCTGTCAGAATCGTACAGCAATGATTCTGTGTCGTCCCTAATGTGACTGGGGAATTCCTGTGCTAAATGCTAATGGTTAGGATGGCAATAGTTGTCTTGCCTGGGGATTACCACTTTCTTTTTACCGATCAGACCTCTGGGATTTCAGAATTATTTGTCATTGCCACTGTCAAGATATACTGCAGATGATTTCAATCTGTCACTCAAAACAAAGACAAAACTACAACGTTTATCTCATTTCATCTGAAAACTGATAAAAGAAAAAGGTATTAGTGACCCAGAGAGATAAACAGATAATACATGTAGTTGACCAGTCATAAAAGATGATGTTTCTGGCCTTAGCTGATTAAGGCCCCTTCTGTAGCACTTACGTACTTTATATCATTTTTACCTGTTTAATAAATGCAAGAAGTCAACAACGTGATCCTTGAAAGAGTTAGGGGGAGAAAGATAGCAAGGTGGGCAATACGCTCAGAGAAGTTAAATGATTTGCCAGGATTTGCATCGCTACCAAGGGTGCGATTGGGAAGGGAAGCAAAGATTTCTGAATTCAAATGCTCTTTTCTCTATAACCTCTTTTCCCACCAAAGAGGAGGTGAATTTGAAAGCAGATACAGGTAACAACCAGTCAGAAAAGCAGAAGAAACATAAGTACCATAAGAGTTGCTTGCAATGCTGGGACTAGGCCTAATTTTCAGGTTTCTTCTTTGTTCTAGACAGCAAATAAATGGTACGGAGAACAGAATTTCAATTAAGATAAGTGCTCATCACTCAAGTAGCTTTTAAGAATCCAACAGTATTAATACACAAAATTGGGGAGGCAGGTCACAAGAAAAATTACAAGTAGTTTAACAAGAATTGAACAAATATTATTTGATCATGGGTGTTCAAATTTAGTGAACAACATAGACTGGATTTTGAGTTGATATGTGAGGTTCTCACACCAAGGTTCTCTTTAACAACAAAAAAGGGACAATTGGAATTGCCTTATTTATTTTTTAAGTGCTTAATCATTGGTAGGTTTCCTAGGTTAACAGCAGAGTCGGTTGAATAATCTTGATAATGAGCAGCTGCCATCCTGGGGATTTCTTTCTGTGGTTTTTTTATTTTTAGTCTGACTTTGATGTTCCCACACAGGCCTTTTTTTGTGTGACCTTGCAGTTTATTTCATGACTGTTCTGTAAGATGTTACACTTCGCTGCAGACCGTTTGGGGCACGGTACTTCACAATTCAACGTTGTCTCTCTGACCCCGATTATATTCCCTTTTACAACATAATCTTCTCAGACTTCTTGCCTATTTTTTAAATTGGATCCAGTAAATGATTGAAATTAGGACATCTGCCCAAGCAATTCCTGTAAACGTTTAAAGTTGTTGAAGTTCAGGACACTTAATAAAATTCTGCTGACATGCATATAAATGTAAGCACATTCACTCTATAATGAAGTAATTTCATCAGAAAGAAAAGCTGCAAAAATTATTTATTGGGTGACTAGCAATTAATAAAACCCTGTAATGTTTATTTGAAGTGGTAATTTGTACTGAAATTGTAAAAAATACCTATTAAATGTTTTGTCTTTTTTTTAATTTGGCTTCTTTCTTTTCAGATGTGAGGAGAATCTTGGGGTATCTTCTTTGGCTAGCCTTCTATTCTGGATGAAATGTGATTACTAGTTATTCCTCTGTTTGAGTTTTTTTGGGGGAGGGGATTTTTCCAACCAGAAGAAAAGCAGAAAAGTAAAAATTTGGTTAAGAATTTATGACTTGAATGGTCCTAGCTGGGACCACTGCCATAACAGTGTGATAACTTGATGCTACAATATCTACAATAGTGAGAGATGCTGGAATTCATTTTCCATAGACTCTTATAGCAAACTTATAAAATCTTAGACTGCTAGAGTGGTTTGAGTACATCGCTGTGTAGAGAGAAGAGAGTAAACAATCTTCAAGTTCTGTCTAGGTTTGTTCTTAGCTAATTAACACTCAAAATAAAGTCATAAATGTTCTCTGGTGACTTTCAGGAATAAGAATATACTGACAATCTCAATAAAGATGGCTAGCCCTTCTTGAACAGTAAGTACTGTACTGAATTTATTCAATCTGAGTGCACAGCCCTGGGAAATGGATGGGGAGGAAGGAAACAGCCAAGTACAGTACCTGCCTTTTCCAACGTAGTGGGAGAGAGATTTGAAACTCACTCTCATGCAAGGCAAACTGTTTGTGCCTGTATAATAGCCTCTATCTCCATGAGGAGACCAAGTGTGGGATTGATTAATTTGTGAACAGAGAGGTCATGGCAGATTTGAGAGAAGAGGATTAAGAAATTGACAAGTAGAAAAATGGATTTATGTACACGGAAAGCATGTTGGCTGATGGGAAAGAATTTCAGAGAACCCTAAATGAAAGTTTAGGATTTTATTCTGTAGATAATAGAAGTAGTGAGTAGTGGAAATACCTAAATAAATCTGTGTGTTAGAGTGTTAAGATTACAGGCTTTGCCTAGGCTAACAGCAGCTCTTCAAAGCATCTGGAAGATGGTTTATAAATGGTGTGAGGTAGGGGGTCCAACATCATCTTCCTGAGGGATAGTTATATCATGCTGTTGAGTAAATAACAAACCAATGCTCTCTCATCCTTTAATTAGGTTTCTCAAGGGGTTATTCACTCTTACTGACACTTTCAAATAACATTGGGATTTAGATATCCTCTCTATTGTTTTTAAAAATGTTTTCTGTCAGTTTTTAAACATTTTTCATTAACTTCAACTTATCCTTAATTTGCACCCTTTTTCTACTTTTTAATTTTGTTCTTTTCCTAATTTCTTAATTAAAGGTAGCACTGGATTCATTATTTTTAGTTTTCCTTAAGTAAATACATCTAAAGTTATATATTTTCCTCTAATTATAGCTTTAACTTTACCCTACACATTTTGGTATGAAATATTCTCCTTTTCATTAATTTCTAGATTGTAATTTGCTTTTATTTCCTCTTTGATCCAGGGGAGACTGTGTAATGTTCCAACAGTTTGGGTTTGTTTGGCATTTTAAAATTGCTCCTAATTTTATGGATTATGACCTGAGAATATGGCCTTGCTAAACATCTACTTTTTGAAATTTATTAAGGTTTGCTCTGTGGTCAAGTGCAGAACTGATTTTTTCAGTGTAAAATAAAAATGTTTTTTAGTTGTAGGGTACAAAAGTGTGTGTGTGTGCGTGCACGCGCGTGTGCACGCACGTGTTTTGGCATGTCAGTTCCTCTGCGCCCCAAATGGAACAGGTCTTTCTGCAAGGCAGATCTGTGGAGGCATCTGGGCAGGCTCTACGTCTAGCTCCATTGCTGTCCTCCCATTGTTCTCACCATGATTCCTTAGATTTTGTTGAATAAATTCTTCTCAGTTTGTTGTCTTTTGATCAATCTCTAAACACTTTGAATGATTGCCTTTGCTAATTTTGACTAGTTTAATAGTAGATGTCTCTTTGGGGGAGAGGTTTCCCTGAGCTCTTCATTATTGCCATTCCAGAATTTCTGCCCCGTGGGCAATCTGTTCTGTGCCAATACTACGTTGTCTTATTTCATTTAACTTTGATATCTGGTAAAACAAGCCCTCCTACCTCATTCTTTAGAGTGTCTTGGCTATTCTTGACCCTTTGGAATTCCATATAAATTTTAGAATCAATTCATCAAGTCCTATTAAAAAAATAAAACCTATTGGAATTTTTGACTGGGACTGTGTGGGATGGAATAGACATCTTTACAATATTGACTCTTCAATATAAGAACATGGTATATTTCTCCAATTAAGGATTTCATTAATGTATCTCAAAGTTTTTGTTATAAAAATTTTCAAACATGTATGAAATCAGAGGGAACAGTTTGAACCCTCATATACCCATCACCAGGATTTAATAGTAATTAACATTTTACTATATTTGCTTTGATATTTGACTCCTAAATACTTCTAATGTGTATCTCTAAATAACATTTTCTTTTATAACCTTAATACCATGACTATATCTAACAGT